CATTTATAATTATTTGTGTGCACTCAGCCCTTTTTGTCTGCAGTCATGAGGCTCGTTTAGGTGAAAAATTTTAGTGCCCCTCGTACGATCCGGAACCCCTCTTTTTCTCCGGCCCTGGTACGTAATTGTCACTTTAAGTATTCCAACGTTTCTCGTTACGCCCTTGACACTGACGACTCCCTTTTATGCAATTCACTCCTACACGTCTCCTTCTCCCGTCCTAACGCTCGAAACTGCGCGACGGCCGAAATCGCCTTAATATTAAATCTCGGCGACGACCCGCTTTCGATTCCATTTGAGCGGCGACTGGGAAAGTGCCGGGGAAACAGGTGCATTATAAACGTGACAGGGGAAACCGGTAGTGGAAATCACCTGTCATATTATGCAACCCTCCCGACTCTGCGTTTCGCGAATACCTTCGGGTTCCCTGTGGACGACGGACGGGCCGCCCTTCATATTCTCACGCGTCTAATACGACGACGGCTGACAGGACGTCGGGAGTCGCTTTACGCAACCGATATGCTAATTGCTTATTTTCAGTATCGAACACTCGAAACGTTCTCGATTCAATTTATTTATACAATATACCGTATATGTGTCAGTCTATCGATATCAGGATAAAAGTTATACGCGGAAGTAACGTGAATTCTTTTGGATTTTCAATGGGGAGCGGACTTTTCTTTTTTTCCTTAAAGCTGCTCGATTCACCGACCGGTCAACCTTACTCGTATAATCCTTCGGGACCACCTTCTTACCAAGGAACGTGCCGAGAACGGGGTCTTCGCTCGAGCAGGCTTTCGCCATCGGAGTATCGTCTCGGAAAGCTGCTCTCTGTTTTCCTCTCTCAGGCGACGTTGCTATGCTCACTTGCCTGCTTGCTTGCTTAACGCCTTCCGAACTCAACGCCCCGCGAGCACCAGGAATAACCGGGAACCCCAGGTGCCTTTCTCAACATCGGGGCTAATACCTTGACTAACAGCTCTCTACGCGTACCCACCTACCCCTCTACCTTTCCTCAAATTCAATTCCGCCTGTCGCTCTTCTTAGAGACGCGTCTACCGCCGTTGCCCTTTATGACTATTATTGCTAATTCGTGACTGCATACGACGTCGCTGTGCATTCGTAAGAGCTCTGGTGTGTGTGTATATATATATATATATATATATATATATATATATATATATATCTGTACGCCATATATATAGGCGTCTACGTGTAACCGCACAATGGGTTTTCTCGACGGTAAAGAGCGGCTCTTTTAAGCTAGTTTCAGGTTTAACGAAGTTATTTGTAGCGGAGACTGTACGACTGGATGTTTAATGTTGTGTTAAAAAAAAGTTTTTTTTTTTTTTTTTTTTTTTTTTTTTTTTTTTTTTTTTTTTTTTTTTTTTTTTTTTTTTTTTTTTTTCATTCACTTTTTCGAAATCATCTTTTCACTCTGTCGTTCGGCTTTGTCGACTTTTCTTGCTTTTTTTTTTCACATTGAACTTGACGTCGGATCGATTTTTTACTTCCTGAAGGCACTTCGTCACGTTTCCTCAAGATCGACCTACGCTACTTTGCTAAGCTGACTGTCTCCTACGTGACTCGATTTTTTACTTTGGTTCATATACCTTCCTTGTAATTCCACTCTTCTCGCGGCGCCGCTCCTGCCCCTCGGTTTTTTTTTTTCCGTTGCTTCCTGACCCACCCTACGCGTCTTGTAGCTTCTTTTGGGCTGCCTCGAAGGGAAAGAGTGAGAGTGAGCGAGAGAGAGAGAGAGCGAGAGAGAGAGAGAGAGAGAGAGAGAGAGAGAGAGAGAGAGAGAGATATGAAGCTATGCTACAAGATCGTTGAGGTCGCCACGCGGATTCGGAATAACCACACGGACGTATATTTCCTAAGGATTTCCGTATACGTAATGGAGCAAGTTTTTTATGTTTTTTTTTCCTATTGTTTTCTTTATTTTTTTTTGAAGGAAAAATAATTTTTTTTTTTTTTTCTAAATGTTTGTATTTGGGGAGGGGGCATTCATCGTAATTTAACAAAATTTATATCCACTCCGTCCAGGAATTTTACGCATGGTCAGAAAGCAGTCACGTTTCCTTTGCATGAGTGCGAAATCGCGCTGTATGATTCATGAGAATTAATCGGAGGTGCGTGTATCAGGCGGAATTAGAGTTTGTGTCGTTTATCGATGGAAAAACTTGACCAGTCAAACCATCGACACACTCTGTATATATATAGAAAATATTAAATATGCATGACGCTTGGGATATATTTTTACGGACTTAGGAAAAAAAAGTGTATAGTGAATTTTACATGACTAGCTTGTATAGGATAGATGCTTGTGGGGTTTGGCGATGCAGCGTCATTTTTCTTTTATAGCACGCCTAATTAGCTGGAGTGTAGGTGAGGTTGTACCTGAGTTGTAAAAAAAAATTGTACTGTTCTGACTTTACATGAAAACCGATATATCCAATTTAGAAATTACTTCCCGTTAAATGAGGTAGCAGGGAGGCGGAAGAAGTAAAAAAGAATTTCGTGAATCAAGTAAATCGGCCATTTCCGTATCTCGTAATTCTATCATAAAACCCGTTGCGCATTAAGTCATGTTAGAATCTCGATTAGGAGACTTTCCAATCGATATATAACGTGCCGCTCGCGTCGGTACCTAAAAATCGTCGAACCGTGACGATTTGTTGTAAAGAGAAAAAAAATCGGCGAATCTCAGCAAATAAATAAAGAAACCGGTAGCGGCAATAATCGTCAAAATTCAATCACTCCACTTCAAGCACTCGTCGTACGTCCAAGAAGTCACCCGTTATACGTATATATCGCAGACAATTGGAAATTGCGTCTAAAAACTGTAGAATCCCGACATTATCGACAGAATAAAACGTAAGAGAGAGAGAAAGAAAAAGGGAAAGCCTTTTTACTCAATCATCTCGCTCATGACGAGCTCAGCTCTCTCGACAGCTTTACTCCGACTAGAAGCATTTACCGTCTTCCTATGCATAAGAACCAGGAGCCATTGTCCCCAGAGCCGCTGAAAGCGACTGGGGTATAAGGAGCGTATAAAGCGTAGCCCGTAGTCAGGGAATAAAAAAAGAAGTGCTCGATCCGCCGTAAGTCCATTTCTCAAAATCATCGAGAAGACGTGTATTTCCCACGGTGTCTCTCTGGGCTGGGCTGTATGCGCGCTGCACGTTCCAGAACCTTCCATTGCCGGAGTCGCCCATTATACGGTCTTATCTGCCTCGTGTACTTCTTACAGGGATGTATGGAATGCCGTGGCTATATATCCATATAAACTTTATTCATTCTTGCCAAGGCATGCCCGACTATACATATACTGAACGTTGCGTGGGGCCAGACTATCGGCTATACGCACTGTTACGCCTAGTGGATACTGCACGTGGGAGGTCACAGTAGGTCTCTATACCTCTCTCTCGCTCCACTGGCAGCACAATGGGTGCGTTAGCAGCACGACAGAGCGCGAGGCTCACGTTATCCCGACTAGACGGAGACCAGCTGGCTGTCTGGCCAGTTAGCCGCGCTTTACTTACGGAACGCGAGTAAAGGCGCGTGTTATGGTTGCCCTGTTAGGTGTCTCGTATAGTTGCGTCACGAGGGGAGGTAGGACTCTCCTCTCGTGCTATTCTCCCTCTACCTCCTACAGCAGGCAACCGACAGAGAGCACCGGTCGTGACCTTTTTTCCCATCGGTAGGAGACTGGCGTGGCGTTACGTCCGGCGTCTATAACCACGGAAGAGTTTTCTATAGACTCGGCGCATGCGCAACCGGAGGCAATACTCTTCTTATTATTTTTCAATGAGGAATGAATTCTTTTTATTTATTTTTTAAAATAATACTGTCCTTACCTCTTCTTTGGACTCTTTTCGCTTTTATTCTTTTTCTTTTCTTTCTTTAACGAAGGACTCGGACTGTTCGCTATCAATTACTGGGAATCGCTATCAATGCCCGGTTAATAAGTCGTGGGTCTGCTGAGCTTGACTGACGGATAAGGGATCCCTCTCGTAGAATAAGGATTTTCTACCATATTTAGGATGAAGGAGGACGAGGGACGAGAGTGCTAAAGGGGCTTCGGCTCGATTGATTTCGCAAGGCGTCAACGAGATTGGATAGCTCCTAGCGTTGCTGTGTGTCCTGAGTGGGTATAGCTGTGGTGTGTGCTAGCACGGAGCTATATGTATACATGCTTCTGTAAATATATACGTAGAATTGGAAGCCCTATGGGGGATCATTGAATGAACCGTACCGATCGTTAGTTTTACGGCAAAGCCCTTCGATCCTCCTTTAGGAAACTGTTTAACTTCCTCTATCTAACTTGTCCGTGTTACTGCTCTGTGTCGGAGTACCCGGCTACCCACTTTCGAGGTCCTCTCTCGGCGAGGGCGAGGATCGTCGAGTGGAAGGGAGAATTATTCGGGGAAATCGATTATCCTTCAGTGCCATCCCTGTGCTATACGCTTTGTGCACCGGGGGTACGAGAAGTTCTCGTAGCCCACAGGGCTTATCGATTTACCGCCGGGCACGTCTATCCTCGAGCATTTCCACGCGTGAGCGCCTCGAACCCGGAACACGAGCCACGAGGAGCCACGTGAACACGAAGGCCTCCAGCTCCGCTTCGTGTCGACGGTCGGCTGCGGATTCGCCCTAAAGAGAAAGTGACGTGCGAATCGATTTACGCGTACCGTTCGCCAAAAGACATTAATGACTCTGGTCATAGGTATTGATGGAGGAATTGGAATACCGTAGACACAGGAATGCCGAACTTCCGGTTCTTTGTAGGCGATGTATTTTTTCTTGCGTGGGGGAGAGAGAGAGAGAGAGAGAAGACGGTTGGGTGAAATTTTTTTTTATTACCCTCATATTATTATATTATAATTTCAACAAGATGCACTTGGCTTATAATTAACCGATTTTAAAGGTTAATTTTAATTAACGCGAACGATCGTCCTGCACTCTGCTAATTGCAGTAATATTTTTTCTTTCAGCCATGGAGAGTCTCGGGAGTCCAGCCGCTCCAGACAGTGCTGTACCCTCTGATTCAGACTTCGGTGCTCCGCCTCCACCTCCTTTTGGCTTCCTACCTCGGGACGGTGTTGACGATCCTGAGGACGAGGTCGATCCCGCTAATAAAAATGGTCCACTCGACCCCTGCCGATCCCGGAGAACGGATCTTCTCCTTTTGCTGAATTACAACGAACAGCACAGCTCGGAAGAGGAGCTCGAGGTTATCAACAGTCCCAAGACCGTAGCGAGCCAGGGTTGCAGACCAGCGACCGCCCCTGAGAAGCGAAAGTGGTCCCAGGTCAGCAGCAGCAATACGCATACGCACACGCAGACCCAGACCCAAAGTCAACCTCAGCAACAGCATACGCAGCAGCAACAGCAGCAGCAGCAGCAGCAGCAGCAGCAGCAGCAGCAGCAGCAACAATTGTCATTGTGTACCGACGTCAACACAGTGGTAACAACGTGCTCGGCACCGGCCAGTAGAGCTGGGAGAGAACCTGCTGGTTCTGGATCGAGTGACGAGGAGGTGAGGGATTAAATATTATTTTTTTCATTGTAATGAGATTAAAAAAAAAAAGTCAAATTTTCATCCATCTGTAATCAAGGACCATTCGTACCATAGTACCCGCGGGTATCGCATGGCACGAGCGGAAGTCGTTAATCGCCTACTGACACCGGGTCAATTTTCCAGGTACAAGGACTCCTCGGTAGCAGAAGCGGAAGTGGCGGTAGCGCCATCTCTCAACCGGTACAATTTCGTACCTCGCCACCGGTCGACGCGCACAAACCAGGACGTTCGCTGTCGCCACCGCCGAAACTTTTTCACGCATCCACAAGAGATCCGCGACCTTCACCACGGCCAAGGTCTAGGCCAAGGCCTCATCCTCATTCGCACTCGTATCTTCACACGCACCTAGACCATCATCATCACCACCACGTGGAGACAGACGCAGACGCCGTAAGCGCCTGCAGTCCTCGTAAGCGTCATCGGCCACCTCATCGTTTGCCCAGGCCTTGCCTCGACTTTGAGAAGATGCAGCAGGTATTGATTTATAGGGGATCTGGCTGAGCTACGGCAAAGACCTGGTACCCTGTCTTCACGATCCAACGTCCGGTATCACCCTCTTTCTTATTATATCCTGGAGCATCCACTTCAGGACTTCCACGTACCAACGCCCTGCAGTCATCCTGGTCCTCTCTTCTTGTCTGTTCGTACACCGGGTTATTATACTGGCGCGTGTGCACACACCACGATGGACCTTCGTGGTCAACCAAACACGATTCCATTACACTTGACTGGGCGTGAAATTACGTTGATAGATACCTGCCCTCCCCTGCTGCCTCCTGCCATCCTGCGCGTACGCGGTCGTGATTCACGCGTATACGTGGGCGGACTGAACGTCCTTCGGCAACGTTAACGGGGATCGACTTCTGCTCGCTGGACTGACGATTTCCCAACGTTATCCTGGGGGACGCGTCGACCGTGGACGTCAATTTACAGAGACTAAAATAAAACCGTAGATCCTGGCTCTCACGGTCTCCCAATGAAAATTGTCCGGCTACCCATATCCTTTGTGTCTCTCTCACGTAACCACTCCCTGTAGACGGTGTATAAACAGTCCTTGGTTTGCCGTTTGAAAAATAAAAAAAAAAGGACCTTCCGAGGGCGAAGTCCTGTGCGACGAGGGTGCCTGGGAAGGTTGACAGACCAAGGACGAAAGGGATTCGCGATATAAGATTAAGGGTAAAATCTATTTGAAGAGACAGCCCGTTCGTCTAGTGCAGCCCCCAGCGAGGGAGGCTGGGAGGCAGGGCGAATAAGAAGGGACGATGTTGGCTCGTGACTAATTAGCTTCTTCTAATTAGCGTTTAATGAGGCCCTTAAAAAGTAAAGCGCGCGCGGCTACTCTCACTCCCGCTCAGCCCCCCTTCCCGCCTCTTACCCGCAGCTACCCTCGCTCCCTCCCACAAGTCGGAATATCTTCTCTCCATCGTCATCATCGTCGTCGTCATCATCTTATCCCTTATCTTCTTCATCTATTTCATCCGACTCGTCTCGACACTCTCTTCCTCCTTTTCCCCCTCTCGTCTTTCCACTCCTACCCGTCGTTTCAACCCTTGGCACGTACAGCTCCCAGACAATGTTCACGTAACAGGACGCAGCATCCCAACTGAACGGCGGTACCCGGGTGTTCCTGCCAAACCAGCAACATGATACCTCCTACTTAGCCGTAATTCGTAACGCAGAAGAGAGCCCGCCCTACGGTAATCCAGTTATCCGAAGCGCACCGGGGAGACCGAGTAATTTCACTCGATGGCGCTTTTATGGGTAATTCGCAGTAGCGATCCCCCCAGCCCGAACTCCACTCTTTAATGCCGATTCGCTGTAGGATATAAACATAGGGCATCCCTGGCGCAGTCCTTCCGACTAGATCATCGCCCCCTTGTTTCCCCCGTTACGCGCAGTACGCCAAACAGTACTGAAACACAATACTTTCCGGCAGCGGAGAAACGCGCCAATTAAAATCACCCCGGGGCTGAACCTCCGTCTTCGTCCCTCTGGCCGCTTCTTACCCTCTTACCCGGACTACGTTCCCTACGCGATACTTAACTACACGTTTCGTACGCGAAGGATAGGAAGATACGTTTTAGCACCGTCTGGCTTTCGCGTTTAACAACTCCAGGGTAGTCTGAGAGTCTTGCTGTGTACCTACATACCTACCTACCTATTTGCTTGGCGTAGGCTGACAGAGACGAGCGATCCTCCAGTTTCAGAGCCTCAGCAGTCACAGGGTATCTCGTGTCCATTGATTCTCGGCATTCTTGGATGTACCCTTTGCTCTTGTTCCTTCTTCATTTTCTTGAAAGGAGTCAAAGAAGTCTAAATGAAATTGTTCAATTGCACGGTGGCATGCATGCCGATTCTACGTGTACGCGTTTCACGGTGTTTATACGGGTATTTTTTTTTTTATATGTTTTTTTATCCTCAACCAAGTCACGGGACGCTTTGAAGTGGCCTCCATTACGTCGTAGCGTCTCTCGGCGGTTATATAACGCGCGTTGTTTGTATCCCTCCGAGAAGTTAAACCCACGTTAGAGTGTCCCTTTATCGTTTCCAAGTATCGCAACCTTCCTCGTTACGTCCCTCTGTATCCTTATGACAGCGGCTGGTTGACCAACGAAACAGCCTCAAATGGCCGGAGCGCAGCCTTATGGCTGCTGTAAATTTCACGATAGCGGCGAACTAGTAAATTTCATGGGATACCCAGAGGCACGTGCTTGCTCTACGTCATATATAGTACGCAGACAACTTCACGATCTCAAAGAGCGTGTATGCGCGTGCCTCGGACTTGTCTCTCAGGTAGAATGATCGATTTCTCTTTTGGCAA